TATTCGGTCAGTGTGATTAATTATTTTTCTCTCAGGTCAGAGGAAGCGTTAGTGCTGCTCATTCCTCTGATTGAAATGTTGCACAGTACACATGAAGATACCATTAGATTTATGGAGACGTTTGTCGAGTCTTTACTTTACAGATGATAATAACTACAGGACAAATTTAGATGTATGGTTTCTTTCTAAAAACTCTTTCTAAGTCATCAGTGTCGCTGCAGTAGAAGTGTGGTGCTAGATTTTAGATCTGTACTTAAAGGATGTGTCAGTCCTTGATGCGAACAGCGTTGGGTACAAAACTCCTTACTTTTGAGGGTACCAACCAGATGATGACAGTACTACTGAGTTCAGATTCACTTTAAATCATACCATGCCAGATTTGGGTACTTGAGAATCAGGTGAGAGAGGCTGTGTATAAAGATGTGAGCTCCGCTTCCTCCCACTGTCCACAAATGTAGCAAAAATGTTGCCATCTTGCACACATGACATCATTTGGAGCCAGAGTCTGTGCAGTTGTGATCACACTTCATGTGTACTTTGACTTTCTAGTTTGGCGCATGCCCTATCTGCTAATATGGAGGCGGCAGGGTTTATGACCTATAATGCAGTAAGCCACAATGCGGCGATTGAGACATTTTGGTCTCACATTGAGGAGCTGTCATGTCGTCCCTCTTTATATACAGTCCATGTGAGAGAGTAACAGAGTACAGAGAGAAATTGAAAGAGAGAGCGAGACCAACGTGAGATCATTGTGTGGAAGTAATGCCCCGGAAAACAGGAAAAGAAGAAGAAGAAGAGACTAACATGACAAACACAGTGACTCAGGTCGTTGGCGTTCCAAAAGCTCTATAAAGTGTGGCTACACTTTTGCAAAAGTTGATGAAGACAACGCTAATTGCCGTATTTGTAATGTGAAAAGCAAAGTAAGCCATGTTAGCAGATCTGACCTGAGGAAACACCCGGTCAAACACAATAGCTTGAAGAAAGCCAAATATATGTAAATTGTTCTAGAAGACACAAGACTGTCTCAATATAACTGTATACAATATAGAGTACTTCAAGTCAGTGTTTTGTGCCTCTTTGTTTCTGCATGTATTGAGTGGTATAGATCCATTTCCAGCACAACAGTGATCAACTCAAGTGGGGATTTGATTTGTTTCCTTTATGACGAGTAAAGAGAAGACAAGTTCTCCATTTTAATTTTAAGACAGTCAAAAGAACGTTCATATGTGTGTTTCCATTTACAAAAGGACTTAATCGATGGAACCAGCAAACTAAATGAAAAAGGTTCTTTGTCATTTTTGTCCAGGACAGGCCATCAGAGCATCATGCGATTCAGTGCTCCAGTCATCAGGGTGACATCTGCTTGTTTGTCAGTAATGTCTAAAATACATATGAATGTTTCAAAGGTTATTCATATAAGAATCTTCTGATCTGCCACCAAGAACAGTTTAATAGTCTGGGAAATATGGTAATTTTTAAAAAGCCTACTACTTTAGTGTATTGAAATGTTGATGAAGCTCTAACATCTGAGACTTTAGATTCTGCCCAAGCAACAACATCCTAACTGCAAAGAAATTACACATTTAAAGGCTCATATTGTTTGCCAGGTTTAGAAAAACAGTTGGAAGTTCTCTATCTCACCTTCATTTCTTTTTGGGAGTAGATGAGTGGAGGAGGAAAGATCTTAGCTAAAATCTTACATTTTTATTTGTGGATTTAGGAGGGGGTGTCATAAACAGTGAATATATATTCACCCAGTTCTTCAGTGTAACATCTTTGCTGGTTTCATAAGTTAAACACTTTATATTCAAATTAAAAAATGAGAGTGCAAAGCTTTAGAGGTGATGCTAAGTGTATACTTTTTCAATTTTAAACAGATATAGGCTCCGTGTTTTCCCCTGCTTGGATTTATGCTAAAACCAAGCAGGGCTCCATAATTGGCCTAATGACATGTGACTGTAACCAAAAAATTAAGTTCATATGTAGTGAACTCTTTCTTTAAGTTTAGACATCTAAGACTACTTAGGAAGAAGTTAAAGTCTTGTACTGTCATATTTCTGTCTCAGCAGAACTTCTGTATCTCCGGCATGTTATAAATCCTTTTCTGGACATTTTGACTTTATGTAATGTGTCCTGTGTTTATTGTCCTGTCTGGTGGAGAGGAGACATGTCATGGTGGATGGTAACAGCAAGGGACCAGAGCACTGCATCTGACCAGTAGGAAATAAAGGAGAAATCAAGTCAGATTGATTCTTTATTGCATCTTTATTTTCTCCTCTTAGCCGGGATGGTGAACATAACTGTGTTATAAAAGTGTTTTTAATGTGTGGGGATTCCATCCATGCTGCTCAATCATGTGCCAATTCAAAAGGACATTAAACGTTGAGTGGAAATACATTTGCGGTAAATTGACTGCATTTACATAGCACTTTTCGAGTCTTAACAAAAACTCAAAAGCACTTTACATTATGAGTCACCTTCACACACACATTCATACAGCGCCTCCATATATAGCACAAGTCAATCACATCCCATTTACAGCCATGTTTCAGTGTCTTCCTCCAGGAGGGGATCGAACCTCCGAGCTTCCAATAAGAGGATGACCCACTCTAGAAATATTAAAACTGAATGGAATGGATGAAGTGACTGTTACATGTTACTTTACCATATGTTATACATGCTCAACACATACAGAACAGAACACATAAACTGATGAGTTTCCTCAGGCTTTATTCTTTCATTTTCACTTCACTCAGTTCTTGATCTGTTTCCTTCCAGTCTGTTACGTTTCAAAACACTCAACAAAACTCCACAATCCTGCTTTGCAATTTTTCTCCTGATCGAACAATCAAGCAAAGTAGCACAGCATCTCCTGTGTGGAGGAGTAACATTCAGAACATTCAATTGTAAAGATCAGATCTCATTTTAGGGCAAATTATTCCATGGAAAAAACCTAAGCTCAATAGAGAGAAAGCAGAGAAAAAGAAAACTGCTCATAGTTTTCTGTTTGGTCTCTGCTCGGAAAGCCAAATGAGTACAGCTGAGTTTATGAACTGACTAGTACTAGTAATCCAGTTCATCTAAATGAGAAAGAAGCAAGAAAATCCCTACCAAAACAACTCAACTCAAACGTTCTCAACAATTTTCTCCAAATACATATAGCACATACAGTAATAATGCCTGATTTTGATGTAGTGTGTAGTCAAAGTTTCCCTGAAAGCAAATATATCAGTTATTGTCAGACCTTTTTGTGCAATGTGTTTTTGAAAGCACCCCAAGATTCAGACGAAGCCAATTCAATGAACAAATTGTGGAATTTCTCAAAATTCAGAGCGGCATTACCCTGGCACTGTCAGGAATCTGAGTTTTATCTTGGATAAGATAGGCTTTGTTTTTTTGACAGAGGGTTACTCAAAAAGTACACTCCATAACATTTGTGGCAGTAGTCTAAGTAGTACTTAGTCCAACAATATCAGTCTCAAGAAATTTTGGCAAAAAAGCCTTTAACCCCTCATCAAAGATAGCAGAAGAAGCTCATTCTTGTTCACACTATGAGTGTTTGAAGCTTTGGTGCCGCTTGGTTGAATTTAAAGGGGACGTTGGGTATTGACGGTGTTATGAACTCATTCTGTTTTTTTAATAAATCTAATACTTAACTGCCACTTTGTAATTAGTGACCACACTTTCTCCATCACAATGGCAAACCATGCAAGGAGCCTGCAGTCTTCTGGTGATTTGCCAGCTAGGGGTTTGTGAATGGCTGAAACTTAATGGCTCTTTAATCCACTAGGAGCTGTCTGTCTACGTGAAGCCGGCTTGGTTTGGTTTGAGTAAATGTCAGGGATTATGAATCAAGCCTATAAACGGTCATTAATGCTCCATTTTCAAGTTTCTGATGCAGACATATAATACATAAGACGGCAATGTCAGAAAGAACGGATCATTCCACAAAATCCAAAGACAGAAAACCCTAGTTATAGTGTATAAATCTGAGGGAGACCATCTTTTAAAGGAAATTAGTTTATTGCGCATTTTAAGTGACAAGGTATGCTACATACAAATTCTGTTGAAATGAACATACACTCCTCTTAATGATACCTAATATTTACTTATATACATATATAAGGTTATGAGGGGTAGGGGTATAGTGAGGGGGTAAGGAGGGGGGTGAGGGAGATAAAGGGAAGGTGAGAGGGGAGAGGGTGAGAGACAGGAGGGAGGTATTAAGGTGAAGAGGTGCAGGGAGCTACTGATGCTGAGGCACAAGGACTGAATCTCTTTCTAATCCAACTCCAAAGACTTCTCTTCTTCTTCTTTTTCTCCTCCTCCATTTGTTTCTACTCCTCTTCCAGCTCTTTCTTTTGCTCCTCTCGTTGTACCTTAAAGTCATTGAGTTCTTTCTCCTTCTCCTCCATTTGTTTCCTCCCCTCATCCAACTCTTTCTCGTTGAGTTGTTTCTTGCTCTCACACTCAGCCTTCAGATGATTGTTCATCTTTCTTCCCTTCTTTCTGCTTTGTGGTTACCAGGCCATCAGAAGTCGACTGCTTCTCCGTAGTCATCAGAACTGCTCAGGGCCATTTATCCAATCACCCTCCTTCTGACTGATTTTCTGTCCTTTCTCTGCTTCCTGTTTGATTATGTCATCGAGTGGAGCTTCTGGTTCGTAACAATATGAATGGTCCTGAAGGAAAGACGCTTTAAACTGCTTCCTTTTTGGTCGGTGGTCTCTCTTGAAAAATTCACTTCTGCACTAAGCAGCTATCGTCAATATGTTTTACTAACATGTGAACAATGTAAGGGGGTTATGGGCAGAGGCGGACTTAACCATTAGGCATTAAGTTCAGCAATTGCCTTAGCCCCCAAACTACCAGGAGCCCACATCATGAGGATTATTCTATATTAAATTTCTGCCAATAGATCCCTTTCACCTAAATCTTACACACTGGGCCTTTAATTTGGACCATGTAATGATTTAGATCTGTGAGCCGCTCCTTACCTGCCATGTCTGTAGCGAAGGGTCTGTCCGGTCTCCAGCCCGTGTACCAGCCCACCACTTTGCCCCCAGACACCAGGGGTCGCTCGTAAGCCCTGCCACCAACAAATCCCACAGGCCAAACGGACACACCTCGAGTGCTTCGCATCTGTGGGGATAAAGAGGGGGGAAGAATATCTGCTCAGATATGATATACAGAACTGCAATCACTGGCACAGAACAGGAAACCGTGAAATCAAACAAGAAGCTGCCCTCTAACATGAAAAATGAATTCAGCAGCTTTTGGTGTAAAAGTCCAGAGGAGTGGGGATCTGCATTTGACAGTTGTGTTGTGGCAGCTTCCTCTGTGGGACTAGTTGAAAGTATGTGTTGGTGTAGTAATGACAGCCATCTAAGGCCACGCTGCTCATTCATCCATATTCAGTTTCCCCGTCAATCGCAATGCAGTTCAGTGGACATGACGTCTGAGACCAAAGGGAGACATCCACCCAGAGTGGGAGCAGTAAGGGGTGAAGAAAGTCAGTGATCCCACATGTGACGTTGATCTTTAAATGAATTACTTGTGTGTCAGTTTGCATGAGTGATTAGAGACGTGTAACTTCATGGGAAATGTGGGTGAGAGCAGCATGCAGAGACTCTGTGGCTAACTGAATAGAAGACTGAATGAAACTGTGCGGCACGGAGCTGCCATCCATTTTCACAGTGAATGAATTTGCACACAGCCAGAAGCAGTGCGACGAGAAAAAAGAGAGGGGGAGAGAAAGAGTGGGCAAGATAAAAGACAGGGAGATGGGAGAGAGAGTGAAGTGTGTGAGGACAGCTGAGTTAAAGTGTTGGAGAGAGACATCTGTATTTCAATGTTATGTGTGTGTGTGTGTGTGTGTGTGTGTGAGAGAGAGAGTGTGTGATTCTATTTTCCTGCGCAGACCACCCTGCAGCCCGTTCACTCAGACACTGCTCCTCATCGCTCACCCAAACAGCCTGCAGCCAGTCGCTCATGACAAAACAACAGAACAAAACCAAATCAGTAAGCAGCGCTGCATTACTGCGCCCAGACAACACGCTGACTTCTAGCTTTGAAAGCCAGAGGGAAACCAATCGTATGTATGGCACAATGTATTAGAAGAATTTACAGTTCTGTAGCAAACTTTCCAGAAACCATGAAGAAAGTGTTGGAGCTGAGGACATGACATGTCTGGCAGGAACGTTAAAATACCACAGAGAAAGTATATGTTACATATTCATCAGTAAATTATTTCAGACATATATTATTTTATATTCTGAAATGTTTTTACAGCTTGGCGAATGTTAGGAATACCAGTGACAGCACAGTGAGTATGTCCAATAAGGTTTAGGAAAGGTTACAGTTGATTTATTAGTGATTGGGAGGTCATTGACAGCTTGATTAAATTATGTCTGCCTGCAGCGCCTCACCAGAACTCAATAAATGGTAAAATTTATATAGAGCTTTTCTAGTCCTGATGGCCACTCAAAGCGCTTTACACTACAGTTTGCCATTCACCCATTCACACACACATTCATACATACAGTGCTTCTATTGGTAGCACTTTTTTTGTTGTTGTTCTATTGGGCAATTCGGGGTTCAGCATCTTGCCCAAGGACACTTTGGCATGCAGATGGGAAGACTGGGGTTTGAACTTCTGGTTGGAGGACAACCGCTCTACCCCTCAGCCACAGTCACCCCAATAACAGTTACTTTAACTGCAGAGATGAACACACTGCAAACTACAAGTGACTGTGGTACGAGAGCCTCTGGTACATATGGTTAGTATCGTGCAAATGAACCATTAACTTTGGGGAATGTGTGAAAAAGATGAGTGGAGATCAAGTGTCATGGACCTTTGTCAGGTATATTCAGTTTGTTCTTAAACCACTGGTTGTTACAACCAATCAAAAAGCAGTACAACATTTCAAAACACCTCAGATAAATCACAGACACAATTATTACATCAGTAATATGCCAATGGGGGGGTCCTATCTTACAACTAGCCCAACCAACACTAGGGTATCACTAAATGAGGTACTGGGGCACGGCAAACATGATTTTCTTTAGAGCACATCAACACTGGCATCAGCTCATATTACCAAATTCTCTCGAATCTCATCTTTTCAAGTTGACAAACTTTGTTAGCGTCTTGTATTTTTCAGTTTTCTGTCCGTCACATGTTAGAAACAACATCAACATGCCCACTTGCTCACGGTGAATCGTCTGGATAATTCCCTCCCTGCTGTGTTCTCACATTATCAGGAGTTTTCACCAGGGGGCTAACAGAGGAGAAACTCCAGAGAACACAGCAACTGACTCTGACATTTGCGTCGTCACGCACAGCCCCTCTGGAGGACTTCAGGAATGCTTCTGGTTCACTGTGTCTGAATGCAGCTTTTACTAGTTTCACACCGATGCAGTTGCCATTTTTTTGTCCAGTGCTAAAATTGTCTAAAGAGCAAATGTACTGAGCATCTATGGGTGTGGTCAGGCAGATTGTTGGGACATTGCTATATTGTGACAGTGGAAAGCAATTACACAAATAGCTGTCATATCTACCATTATAGATTCATTCTATAACATGACAGTGAATCCAAACATGCAGCTGAAGTGAAAAAGATCCATCTCCAGTGACGGGAAGACAAAGCAGTGAAAGGTCTGGAGCCCAAAAAGATCACATTAACAAATAACTAGACACTGAGAAACTCTAAATCTCTGGTTTACCTTCTTTTCTTGGCTGTTTGACTTTAAACTACATTTATGTTGTCTTTTCATTAAACTGCTTTAAGAAGTGTAAAAGATTGAATGAGCTGGAAATCCTGTTGGTCCTACAACAATGAGTTAAAGAACAAGAAACTGACCTTTATTTGCATCAAACTGTCAGATATGATAACTGCAACTTATTCTTCTTCCATTAAATAACATGACGTGCAGAGACCTAATATATTTAGCTGAACAGAATGAAAGAAGGCAGATATAATTAACATTTAGCATCTGGCCTCACTTCAACCTCAAGAAGAACAATGAGCATCTCCTCCTTTCCTTCACCTCTTCTTCCCTTTCATTTCTCTTCCTTTTGCCCTGCACCCTAATACCTCTCTCCCCGAGTCCCTGAACAACGCCTGGAGCTTTTAAGCCCTTTCCCCATAAATACCATGCCCCCTTGAGTTTGTGTGACGCTAAAACCCTTCCCCCCCGTTCCTCCTTTGCTGCTGTCTGCCTTTCTCTCTCAGGTCATTTTTCAAAGACTCTGGTCCCTTCGGTTTGTAAAAAACACAGATAAAAGGAGAAGCCGAGAAAGAGGAAGAAAGAGAGGCTGACTGTGTGTGTTGGTCGTTCCCAGTTCGTTCCTGGAGTACGATCGTTATTTTGGCTTAGCGATTAAGTCCTAGTTTGACTGCTAATGATCCCCAGGTTCGACTGCTGCGCCTCAAAGCTCAGTACACTTTGACACATTATTAGAGAGAGTCAGACTAGAAACTATTTGCTAACGTATTCAGAGAAAGGCTGGCTCGACTTACAGGGGGCCTAATCTTTATTACTTTGAACATCTGATTTTGGCTCTGGTATATTTTTGTTCTGCTCAGCCTTCTGTTACAGACAACATCATGAAACTATATCATCTATATACATCTGTCTTTGTTGTCTTCAACAAGTCAGAGTTCACAGAAGTTTTCACAAAGTCATTTTCAAGCACTGTCAAAGTGCATCATCATTGTTTTTGCAAGTGTCTTGCAGTTTTCTGAAGTTGCTATTAGTCAAACATTTTCTCAGCAGAGAAGAAAACACAGGATCTCTTACATTTAGGGTCCTATTTGTTGTGCGCTGTCATTTAAATGTCTGCTCTGTTACAGCACATGCACTACTTGAGATGTTTTTATTGATTGTTGAAGTAAACAGTGTGTTAAGAACTTCAGCATTGTCTTCTTCTTAAACTACACAACAATGTTTCTGGTAACTTGAAAAGTATATCAAGTTTTATTCTTATTTCTGTTTTGTTCACCACCAGCTCCTGAAGGACTTGTAGGTGTTCAGCAGCTAAATGCTTCACTGTTCACCAGCTAGTAAACATGTGATCTGTGTCTTTGATTGTTTGGGCTGAACAAGTAAAGTGCTGTTGGTTTATCAGTCTTTTTGATAAATTCCAAAACTAAAAACTAAACTTTAAAGCTGAGGGGAGGTGCAGTGTTAAATGATAATTTTGACATTGTTTTATCTAGACAGCGGGCGATACCCTTTCCTTTACTCAGTAATTTGATCGACTGGTTGTTAGATGAATGCACTGGATGGTTTTTGGTTGTCTCTTCAAACTTTCTGGCTGTTTTTCTTGTTGAAATTTTAGAGGCAAAGAGTGACAGCTCAGCGAGTTCTGCACCCAACCAATCAGATGCAGGGTTTGTGTTGATATCTGATGGAAGCAGTAAGATGTCAATAATTCATTCTACAGCCTTGTTAAAATGACATCTGCCTCGGATAAATGTCCCTTGTGCTTTTCCAAATTGCATTAAATGAGTGAGATAAACACTGTGGCCTGGCAGCAGCAGGGTCCATCAACAGCTTTCTTTTTTTTACTACTTTCACTCTTGCTTTCTTTATAGCAGCTTTTATTCATCCATTATAACTGGACTGTGTCCAGAGTATGTAGTTATGTGTGTTTAATGTTTCTGTCCATCCAGCTTCAAAATGACTCTCAGAGGCATCCAGGTCGATCCATTATAGGATCAAATGGATGAATAAAAATCACATTAAAATTAGATGTTAGATTTGCTTGCAGCTCGTAGAGCAATCGTTCGTGATCGGGAGCTGTTCACTATCAGTTTCATCAAGCACAACTTTCACAACATGATATCAAATGATGATAAAAAGTTCCATTAACCAGCTTTGTGCACAGTTAAAGTCAGAGAGATACTGTGTTTACATTTTGTGGGGAAGTCGCCCACTGCAGATGTTGTCTCAATTTTCATTTTCCGAGACTTATCAACAACTCAATGTCAACATTTTTCCTGGGAGCCAAACAAAGCTGTGGCTGACAGTGTTTCAACAGATGGTGCATTATTCTGCTCGCTGGCGAATGCCTTAGCAAATTTTCATGCCACCATCTGCAGATAACTGCTGGCGCTGGTAAAGTTTGCAGGACAAAC